ATGTGTTATGCAATTACTTGTCTTGTTGCTGCAACAAAATACCTGATAAAGTGACTTAAGGAAAGGTTTTATTTTGGCTCATGGTTCCAGTGACTAAAGTCACTGGAAGGCATGGCGGCAGGAGTGAGGCAGCTGGTCACATGGCATGCACAGTCAGGAAGCAGAGAGATGGATGCTGGTCCTCAGCTGTTGCTAGTCTTTCTTAGACTACTGTAAGGGTCCGAAAATCACTGAAGGAAGACCCCAGACTCAGACGATATGCAAAGGTAAGGAACACTTATTCTGCAGAGACAACCAGGATGCAGGGGTCAACCATTTTTCAAAATGGCGACCCGAAGTAGAAACTTCTAGTTTCTTTGGAAGGTTAGTTTTGTCAAATGGTGTTTTGCTGGGCAAACAAGTGAAAGGATGATTTGCTAAAGCAGACATGTGAAAGAATGGTTTTCCTGAAGCAGACACTGGAGAAAGGATGCTTTGCTGGCGCTGATACATGAAAGGACATGTGATGAAGGAATATAAAAATGACCCCGCAGACAGTGGAAGACAAGCACCGAGCTTTGGTTTTGTGTGCTCCACCTTGATCACTATTCTTTGCTAATGACAGGCATGTATCGGTTCACCTTACATAGTGTTGTTGAGCTCAATTTGTGGTAACACTGCCACGGAAAGAAACTTACCAAGTACCGCTCACAAGGTTCCTTCAGCAGCTTGCCTCTTCCACAGCCTTGCCTGGGGCCTGTTGGTGAGACTGGTAGCTTCTTTAGGACTAGACTGTAGCTGCTGGTTCGTGCCTGGTGTCTGCCTGTTGAAAGGACTGGACTGTAGCTGCCAGTTTGTGTGTGGTGTCTGTCTGCCTAGAGGACTGGTGTGCAGCTGCTGAGTTGTATTTGTTGTTTGCTGCAGGACTGAACTGCTGAGAAAGAACACCAAACTCTTCCCCCAAAGAACTATTATTGAACAGATTTACTTTCCCCATATCATAATAACTTTTCTCTTCCACTACCTCTACTGGGTGGTGGGCTAAGGAGAGATTGAATCATTATTAAAAGTAGGTTGGAAGAAATGTATGCCTACACTGACCCCAGACAAAGGCACTAGGCCTTCTTATAGGGAACCCGGGGAACTCTTTAGAAGGATTAGGTAATCTAAAATTTCATTGGTGGGTGCTAGGGGTTCACTGGTGGTCAGTGGTCTGCACTCCTATTCATGAATGTTTGACATAGAGTGAGATTGGGCTGCCTAGCACAGATGGCCCGTTCTGAGATAAGTTATTTCCCCAATTGTGTGGTTATCCCCCAGCTTGTTCTTTGGGAGGGGGTTTTATGACCCTGTTTCTGGGTTTTATGGTCTGTTCCTAGAACTGGTGCCTTATGGCCTTCTTTTTTAAATCAGGCCTGGTCCTTAAATGCAGATAAATGGGGTGTGTTTTGTCCTTCCACCACCAGATGTTGAATAAAGACACAGAGGCTTATTATTGTTTGTAAAAGCTTAGGCATCATACAGCAGGTCTGCCTCCCAGCTAGCTCATACAAATCAATCAACCCAAGTACCCTAGTCCACCTCTGCCATGTGGCCCGTTACTTCTCTCTCTCTTTCTTTCTTCTTCTTCCTCCTCTTCCTTTTCATCTTTCTCCTCTTCCTCTTCCTCTTCCTCTTCCTCTTCCTCATCCTTCTCTTCCTCCTCCTCCTCCTTCCTCTCTCTCTCTCTCTCTCTCTCTCTCTCTCTCTCTCTCTCTCTCTTTCTCTCTCTCTCTCTCTCTGCATGTCTAACTTCCTCTGTGTCATGGTAGTGAATCTTCAGGCCCCCGATTCTTCTCATAGTATCATCTCTCTGAAGTCCCGCCTTTCCGCTCCTGCTTAGCTATTGGCTGTTAGATCTTTACTAAGCCAATCAAAAGTGAGGAAGATGTATGTTTACAAAATATCAAGGCAGATGATGAGCCATAAGAATGACAATACATAGGTCCAGCCATTTGCCGTACAGAATCAACATTTGAAAAATACAGAGACAATCTTCACACAGTGCACCAAAATGTTACCCCAATGCCCAGTTCACTTCCTCCTTTTTACTCAGTCTGGGACTGCATCCCAAGGATGGTGCTGTCCACCGAAGGATGGTTTTCCCAATTTAATTAACTTAACCTAGATAATCCATCTATAAAGAACCTGGTATAAGAGACATGCCCAGAGATGTGTTTCCAAGATGATTTTAAATCCCACCAAGTTAACAACCAAGATTAACCATCAACAATATATAATATATAATTATATATTGTCAAAAATCTTTCTCTGTCTTATACACACCTTACACACACACACACACACACACACACACACACACACACACACACACGTGCTGACATTGATTCCAGAACTCTCAAGACTCACTTCTTTGGACAGGACAGCCATTGACTGCCAGGAGAACATAGAAGTCCATCACTAATCAGGATCCCTTCAGGTGACAGTCACCTGCAGGGCAGTCCCTCATCTCCCATCCCATGGAGTGAGTGGTCTGTTCTCCTGAATCTGTTTGGTGGAGTAAGTTAGCTTCTTCTGTGTCGAGGATATAGCTCAGTTGGTAGGGTGCCGTGGAGCCTGTGTGAAGCCCAAGTTCCATCCCAGCATTTCATAAATGGGGTCCTACATTTATTATGTCCACTTAGTCTCTGGCACCACAGAGGACACCCCATGGAATGGCTACATTGAGAGAGTTGGAGATCTTGTGCCCTCTAGTGGATGCTACAAGAAATACATCTCTTGACTTGAAAGTTGCCACCTCAAGTTCTACACCAACCAAATAACCTTCCAGATCATCAGAAGATCTTTGACCACCCCTTTTTCAGATCTCCTATGTATGAAAAGAGGCAAGGAAACGTCACCTGCGTTTTATTCTGCAATCAATGCCATGGATAAAGCTCCTTCATTGTAGCCACTGGCCATGTGATTGTCAGAGGTTCTCTGGGATCAGTCACCAAATTCCTTGAGGATAGTGGATGTAACAGCATCTCAACTGAGTGACTGGGAATCTCAGGTGCAACACTTGCTTCTGAAGATCTGGCAGCTTGCTTTTTCTCACACTTATTAATTTTTTGTTCTTATGCTTACTGACATTATCTGTTAGATTTAAACTAGGGGCTGATCAGGCCACAGTAAACTGTACCCTGTGGAGAGCCTATCTGTGAGTATGTAACAGGTGCCTCAATATTCAGCATCAGGACCCCAGAAAGGAAATGCTAAATTTCAGACCAGATTACTCAAGTTAATTCCACCTGCAACCCTCCTATCCCCCACGCCCCACCTCCCTCACCTGTTCCCATAGTCTGGGGTCCCTGCTGCTACAGCCTCCTGCCCACCCTATACCCCAGCCCCCATCCATTTGATTCTGGGAGATCTGTCAGAGTGAGAGGGACCGTCTTCTGAGAGCTTGTGAGTCTGCCCAGCAGAGAATCTGTCTAACTCATAGTCCTGAAGGCATGGGAATGCACACCTTTAATCAGGCAGTCAAGAGGCAGAGGCAGGCAAATGTCTGTGACTCAGAGCCAGCCTGGTCTCCATAACAAGTTCC